GAATGGCACTGGGAGACCAATGCACAGGCTTGCCCAGGGGCTCTCTGCACACTGCTGTGGGGGCATGCATAACCAGGAGGTCTGAGCACTGAATCAGGTGAGGGAATTGGCGATGCTCTGGTGTTTATGATCTGCTGTTTCCGTATGTAACTGGCACCTTGCCTGGGCCTTCCCGCAGGGCCTGCTGGGTCTCAACTCTGGCCTGCCTGCTTGATCTGTATGCAGTTCTTCCTTTAGATATGGTCCTGTTTCCAAAAAGGTGCCCAGAATACCTGGGAACCATTTTGTCTCTGCAATTAAAAATTAAATGAACCAGCCAAATGTGCCTGGCACATGGTAGATGCTTCAGACCTTTTCTATTCTGTACTTCTGTATATTTCTTCCTCTCATATTTAGACACTTGGGCTTAATGTGGTTAAGAGAGAAATTTATTTTATTAGCTTCTTTTTTTGTGTGTGTATGTGGTATTGGGGATCAAATTCAGGACCTTCTGTATGCTAGGCAAGCATTCTGTCTCTACTTTTAATCTTGAGACAGAGTCTCATTAAATTGCCAGGCTGGCTTTGAACTTGATATCTTCCTGCCTTAGCTTTCTGAGCAGCTGGGATTATGGCTTGTGCGTAGCCCAGCTTATTTTTTAGCTTTTGGTTAGCAAAACCAAGATGAGAACCCACTAGACTGGGCTGTTCTTGATCTAGTGCTGGTGTCCTGGGGTCCCTTCCAATCTGACCTACTCAGAACCTTCCTGAAACAGCACTGGTACCCATCACATCACAAGGTGGATGCAGGCAGAACTTTTTGGATTGGGGACCCACCCATGCCAAGCAGAGGCCCCATGAAGCTGGGTAGATTGGCCCAGAGCATGTTGATGCAATCATGGCAGAATGGGAACTGTAGCCCCGATCTCATGACTGACTCGGGGAAAAGCACAAGCAGTCATTTTAGGATAAGTATGTTTCAGCAGTTTTGTGCAGTATAACTCTTAGTGGGCTGCAGTTCCGTGTTGAGATTAAGGGTCTGATTAAGGTTTGTCTCCTCCCACAGCTCTGGATTTGGCTTGAAGCAGGTCTGCACCTGTAATGTCAATGGGTCAGAAAGTACAGACCACACCAGGGCCAAGGTCTCTGGTCAGTCTCTTGGTTCATTGTTAAATTTGGAGATGGGTAAGTCCACTGGATTCTTACCATAACACAATCAGAGGCATGAGCCATGAAGTGTTGGTTTGGGACAGAATAGCCTTCTGGCCATCATCCATCAGAGTCCACATACCCCAAGAAGGTACTAGGGGTGGAACAACATGGAGCTATCTGAATTCCAGAAGACATGTGAGTGCTAGTGGTCTTTTCTCCTCCAACTCAAAGAGTTTTGTTCACACAACATGACCTGTATTAAAGTTGAAAGAACACACGTCTCTGGGGTCTTGCCTCTGACTATATGACCACCTTCAAATCCAGGAGTTAATAGTTCCAGGGGTTTCTTCTGGCATTTGTAATAAACCCCAGAACTCGCAGTGGGCATGGGCTCATGTGAGCTGGGGCTTTTGGTGTCATCAGGGGTGTGGCCTAGGATGTTTTTCCAGGAATTGCCGTAGACGGCTAGTGTAGTGCTCCTGGTGGCGGCTAGTGTAGTGCTCCTGGTGGCGCCAGCCTGCCTACTCATGGTTGTCATCTGGAGGCCCTCCCAGAGCACTGGGGAACAGCCCCAGGGGGGGATCCTACTCTTCACTCCTGACCCTGAGGAAGTGCCAGGTCAGACTGCATCCTTGCTGCAGAGGCTCCTGTGGGTGGCCGATTTCATGTGCCTGTTTTATAAACAAAGGGCTGGAGTAGGTAGCTTCACAGGTCCTTCAGTTTTGTTTTGTTTTTCCTTGTTAAGAGAAGAAAAAGTTTATTTGGTCTTCATGGTTTCAGAGGTCTCAGTCCATAGACTGCCAACTCCATAGCTCTGGGCCTCAAGTGAATATCATGGCAGAGGAAAGCCACTCAAGACATGGCAAACAGCAGACAGAACTTCACTCACCAGGGGAAAAATATAAACCACAAAGACACACCCTAGTGACCCACCTCTAGCCGCTCCCCACCTGCCTACAGTCACCCCAGTTAATGCATTGATTTGGTTAAAAACTCTCATAATTCAATCATTTTGCCTCTAAGCTTTCTTGTGTGCATGGACTTACACACAAGCATTGGGGGACACCCAGTGTAAATCCGACATTCCGTCCTGGTTCCAGCATTACCCAAAAGTCCAAGTTAAAGTCCTGTTATATCGGATATATAATGGCACAGAGTAACATTTCCATTCCACAAGGGAGAAATAGGGGTTTAGAAAGAAGAAATGGGACCAAAGCAAGACTGAAATCCAATTGGGCAAACAAGTCTAGCTCCATGTCTCGCATCTGGGGCACATGGCCTCATGATGTTCTCTCTAAAGGGCTGGTGTAGCTCTACCTTATGACCTTGCTGGTTGTGGTTTCTCTGTTGGCTTCTTTCTTTTTAATTCCTACAACTTTTGTTGGCTTATGTCTCACATTACTGGCCTCTCTTGGGGTGGAGGTGTCTCTACTGCGGCTTTGGCTTCCTTTTCACATCTCCATGTATTGCTCTCTCAGGGGCAACCCACAGGGACTCCAACTCTACTATACTTTTCCTGGCCTCTCAGTGGAAGCCTTCATGACCCCCTAACCCATCCTGCATTCCTGTAGAACCAGTACCGTGTGATTTATGCCAAGGTCTGACACCATCTCAAGCAGTAGCCAAGCCTCCTGGGACCACAGTTGCACCAACCTCTAAATGCCTGGGCAGCTGTACTTGGTGAAACAACTTGTTAGGCTCCTCTGTTCAAGCAGAGTGCCCCCATGGTCTCCTCTCAATGGAATTCTGTTACATTCTTGAGCCTGAGATAGGTATGGTCTTGCCAACTCCCGAGATGCCATCAAGCCATCTTTCCTATGGTTCTGGGTAAAGCATTTAGCATTTCTTTAGTAGCCCTAATCACTTTACCAACCATACCTTCCTTGGACACAGTTTTACTTGCAGTTTTCTGGCCAAACTTCAAGTTTTTGAAATTTTTCTGTTCTGCTCCTGGTCATCACAGTAAACTTGGTTAAAAGCTACCAGCACTCTCCATGCCACTACCTGACTGCTGTGCTGCCTCAAAATTTCCTGTGTCCCATTAAGAAGTCCATCACCTTTAAATTTAGGCTCACAGAAAATCTCAGGACATGGGCAAAATGTAAATGACTTCCAAGCCAGAACATAACACAAATGCCTGCTAGTCCAATTTCCAATAGAGTCCTCTTATGAACCCTCATGAGCCTAGTCTTTACTGTCCATAGTCCTGTTTGCATTCTGGTTTTTTGACCTCCCATGAGTGGCTCATTAAGCTCCAGTTACAACTTTCTAAAGCTTCTCCAGTTTTCACTGCTGAACTTTTCAAAAATTTTCCCCCCACAAATCAGCTCCAAATTCTTCTGAACCAGATGGTCAGGTTGGTCCCAACAGGGACCCCACTCTATGTACCGATTTCTGTTTCAGTCAGCTTTTTCATTGCTGTGACCAAAAGCCCTGACAAGAACACTTTTAGAGAAAGAAAAAAATTATTTCACACAGTTTCAGAGGTTTCAGTCCACAGACAGCTGACTCCATAGATTTGGGTCCAAGGTGAGGTTGAATATTATGGCAGAGGAAAGCAGCTCAGGACATCATGGTCAGGAAGCAGAGTGGTTTCTTCACTTCTGAGAAACCCGAGACTGGTTTTTCCAGTTTCATAAAATAGGTCCAATCTTAGGTAAATTTGACCACTTGAGCACAATTTACAATCTGTGTAGTCAGCAGATATTTCAGGAATACCTGCTGTGTATCAGACATTGCATCAGCCAGCAGAATATAAAACAATGGACAGGCAGGTATGGGCTGTGCCCTCAGAGAGCCTGTCTGGTGGAGGTTGGATTGAGCCATTAGAGTGCATTTGGGGTGTAGGAGTGGAGAAAATACAAGGTGCTTCAGGAGCTTACAGTGGAGGCACTTCCTCTAGCCTGGAAGATGTCTGGAACAAATGCCTTTAGTGCAGGCAGCAGGGGGTCTCAGCACTTCAGAGGCCCAGTCAAGGAGAATGTGATGTTTCGGAGAACTGGAAGGTTCTAGCATGGGGTGAGATGAGGGGATGTTGGGAATGGAGTCCAGAGGGGTAGGTGGGTTATTCTTGAAGACTCCTGTAGGTCCTGGGCAGACATACCCCACTGGCTTTGGGAAGCCCCACCAGTGCCTTAACCAAGGAAATAACATGAGGAATGGGAACACAGGTTCCTAGAACAAGCTCTTGCTGTTGACAGTGGGACAAATGAGATGGCTACCTCCCAGCATGGAGGCAGGGAGTTCTTGGGTCTGTTGGAAGTGGAATGTGGGGCCTGTACTGTGTGATGTCCAAGTTTATCAGACTTAAGTTAGAATAGGAAATGGTAGTAAAAAAGCAGAAATATAGAAAGTACAGGGAACGAATGAACTTATACTTTTACGTTGCTGCAGAGGACAGTTATTGCTTTATTTTAACTTGTTTTTTGTTTGCAGTACTGGGAGTTGAACCCAGGGCCTCACATGCTTGGCAAGTGCTCTCTGCTGAGCAACACACCATCCCTTTTTATTTTCTTTGGAGACAAGGTTTCACTAAATTGCCCAGACTGGCTTCAAACTTGCAGTCCTCTTGCCTCTGGCCCCACTCCCACCCCCCACCCCAGTAGTTGTTATCAGTGGTATGTACCACCACACCCAGATGAATGTGTTTTTTGAGTAGATAAATACATTGATATGGTTCAGAGTATCTCCTCTGCCTTGAGCCACTGTTAATAGGAGAAAGTGAATTTTTGAAATGGGACATGTGTAGCTTCATACACAGCTTCACAAAACAAACTGGAGCACCAAGACAATGTTCTCTCAGGTTCTGGAAGTAAAGTCTTTAAAACTATTACAGGGTAACCTAGATGTTCTTCCTGTGGACTGTGACTTATCTACCTGATGGACAGGCTGCCTTTATTTGCCTGTGGAATCCGCAGGAAGTGTGCAGTCCAGTGCGATTGGGTTCCAGTGTTCCTGCCCGTTCACGTTTACGGGTGTGCCGCTCCATCCAGAGTTCATTTTTGCTCACTCTCCTGTACTGCCCATGGGAGTGATCGTGCAGTGTTGTGGTCTTTGTAAGTGCATAGGAGTAGGAGACAGAATTAAAGAAGTATTTCTGAGTGTGTGTTGCTGGGGCAATGATGCATCCTTCGGTAAAGTCAACATACGGTGCATTCTCTTCTTCAGATCAAAGGCGGATACATGAAGATCCCAGCGCGAGCTGCACTGTCTCCTTCCACAAGTCACAGCACAGGGCCCAGCAGCCCCCAGACGTCCTTGGCCCCAGGACTACTCTGGTGTACGGTTTGGGACAATGACTCCTGTGAGCGAAGGGGGCATATCCAACAGCGTTTTTGACCTGGACTATGCTTCCTGGGAGATCCGCTCCACACTGGTGGTCGCAGGCTTTGTCTTCTACCTGGGTGTCTTTGTGGCCTGCCACCAGCTGTCGTCCTCCCTCAACGCCACTTACCGTTCTCTAGGGGCCAGAGAGAAGGTCTTCTGGGACCTGGCAGCCACGCGGGCTGTCTTTGGCGTCCAGAGCTCAGCTGCGGGCCTGTGGGCTCTGCTGTGGGACCCTGTGCTTCAAGCTGACAAAGCGCTTGGCCAGCAAAACTGGTGCTGGTTCCACATCACCACAGCCACAGGGTTCTTCTTCTTTGAAAATGTGGCCGTTCACCTGTCCAACATGTTCTTCCGTACCTTTGACTTGTTCCTGGTTGTGCACCACCTCTTTGCCTTTCTTGGATTTCTAGGCTCAGCGATCAATCTCAGAGCTGGCCACTACCTAGCGATGACCACATTGCTGCTGGAGATGAGCACCCCCTTTACCTGCATTTCCTGGATGCTCTTAAAGGTAAGCATATCTATGGGAGGTGGTTACTGCAGAGGATGCTGGACAAGGTGCCTTGAACATTTAACCTCTGGCTGAGCACTGTGGACCCATCGGCAGCAGGACCACAGCCCACCCATGCAGGAAGAAGCTCATGTAGTCGAATTTTATTAGCTTCAATTTTATTATTGATTTCTTGATTTTAAGCTTTTCATACTTATTGCTCCTTAAGATACTTTGCTTTCTTTTTGAAAACATGCTTTTTTTTCTTTCAATGCTTAAAAAAATTTTGAAGTAATACCTATGTGTACACATATATCCTTATTGCTTTTTAGTTCTCACTCGCCCTGGCTCAGATGGCCATGCTGACCCCAGGCCACGTGGTGCCCACAGGGTGTTCACAAGTGGCCAGACTTGGCCCCTAGTGTGGAGACTTGCCCAGGTTTTCCCTTTTGTTTAGAAGACGCATATTTTTAATGTGTGTCTTCTGTACATGATGAGGATTCTCATTTTGGTGTCAAAATTATCTTCATGTTAAATCCTTTTTGACAATTTTTTTGGTAAGAATCTTGCAATCTTTTATGATATATTACCTTGTTCACAGAGTATTTTATACAGAACTTGAAATACCACTAGTGTTTAATAATTCAGACATATAGGTCATATTTTGGAGCATTTCTCAATCAGAACACTGTGGTAGGTAAGCTTTGTGAAGGGAAATGAATGAGTATAAAAATGTTGTTCCAGCCTTCAGAGCCAGTGGGTGATGGCATGGTGTGTCACCTAGTTGGTGTGACAAGCGTTTGTGCAGCACCAGCTGTGTACTTCAGGATCTACTGGATGTAGGCCTGTTGTGTCATAGGAGAGCCAGCAGCACAACACGCACTTTTGGAGACCCAGCTGTGTGCCCAGCCTTGTGCTAGGACCTGCATTTGCCATGACCCCATTTGGGCGATAGCTGGTTATGTCTTTAGGTGACAGGAGTGTTCAGGGTCACGGCCCCTTCTGAGGCATGTGCAGTGAAGATGCATGAGGTGGGTACCACAGACCACAGTACCGAGTGTCCCCTGCAGCCACTGGAGACAAACAGTTCCCACCATTAGAAGGCTAATGAGGAGCTGCAGGGATCCCTGAGGGGCGAGGTTTGAGGTTGCATGCTTGTCTGTGGCAGGAGCGATTGGGTGGGCTTCACCAGAGAGGAAGGTGGGAGCCATGATCACACTAAAAGTCACTACACATCCACCCACCCCTGGGTGCTGTGCCAGCCTCTAGAGTGGATATGTAGCAGCTGGTAAGTGTGGGACCATCTTAGGTGAAATTCTGGGACCTGGGGCTCTATCAGCACCTGCCCATGTTATGTGGAGATTTAGTTTTCTCTGTGAATTCCCTGCCCCTGACTTGGCATGGGTACCAGCATAGGCATCCTGAGGATGAAGGAATATGTGCAAGGGGGGGCCTTGGCCAGCTCTCTGCCCACCTATTCCTCTTGCACTGAAAAGCAGGGTCTCAAAAGCAGCCCTGCGATGCAGAGCATGGTGTTCTTGGGAATGCTCGCTCACAGATGTACAGTGTCACTGAACTAAGGTCATGATGCTGGGCTTGTGATAATGCATGTGTTTTGAAAACGAGTTTACAAATGTCTTACATTTTAATTTTTTTATTGAAAAATTTTTAAAAAGAGAGAGAAACCTCTTAAGCTCAGGAAATAATGCCCAGAGTTAATAAATAGGACAGCATCAATTAAAAAACTTCTGTATAACAAAGGAAGCAATTAACAATGTGAAGAGAGAACCCACAGAATAGGAGAAAATTTTTGCTACCTACTCATCTGGGAGAGGATTAATATCTAGAATATCTAAAGTGCTCAAAAAACTTTACACCCAACATATCAAATAACTCAAGTAATAAATGGGCAAATGAACTAAATAGATACTTCTCAAAAGAAGAAATACAAAGAACAACAAATACGTGAAAAAATGTTGAACATCATTAGCAATTAGGGAAATGCAAATCAATATGACCAATATGGAAATCGGTATGGAGGCCTCTCAAAACTGTAGGCATGGAACCACCGTATGATCCAGCTATCCTACTTCTTGGTATTTATCCTGAAGAATTAAAGTCATTGTACTCTAGTGACACAGGCATACCCATGTTTATAGCAGCACAATTCACAATAGCCAAACTATGGAACCAGCCCAGGTGGCCATCAAGGGAAGAATGGAAAAAGAAAATATGGTGTATATACACAACTGTGTTTTATTCAGCCATAGGAAAAATGAAATTATGGCATTTGCAGGAAAAATGAGTGGAACTAAAGACCACCACGTTAAGTGAAATAAGTCAAACTCAAGGTGAAGGGTCATGTGTTTCCTCTTACATATGGAGAAAACAAAGGTGGGAGTGTCCCCTAAAGGTCAAAGAGAGGTCCATAGAGGAAAAGGGGCAAGGAGTGGGAGGCGAGGAGGGAAGGAGACGTGCTGGAGAGTAATATTGGCCAACTATATTGTCACGTTGTGTGCATGGACGGATGTGTCACAGCAGATCTCACAATAACACACCAAAAAAATGTGGGAGGAAAAACAGGAGAAAGAAAGGGGATGGCAAGGAAAGGAGAGGAAGGCAGACAGACATGGAGGTCTTCCTGTCTGCATTCCTCAGGAAGTCAGGGCTGGGGCTGGCTGGGCTCCCCACATCCTGTCCCTCCAGCCGAGACGGGAGTGGCCTGCACCTCCTGGAGGGCCTGCCTCCCTGTCACAGGTGGAGTGACCACTAGTGAGAGACTGTTGGGGTTGGTGTTGAGGGTGCAGTTTGTGCAGGACGGAGACGAGCATTTACTTCTTACCCTCCTCCAGTTGACTGCACATGGCCAGCAGACCCACCCCAGAAGTGCGCCTCCTGAGTTAATGCAGCTGAGGGTCGGTATGACCCGGGGCTCTGCTTTTTTACTGTTCTGTTTCAGATACTAAGTGTTATAAGTGAAGGCTGTGTTTAAAACATCCAACTTCTTTTGAGCTCCTAATAAAGCTCGTGGATTGTTGCAGAGTGGGGCGTCCGGATCCTGGAATTTCCCATCTTTGAGTCTGACTTGACAGGGCTAAAGGATATAAATCAAAACAAGAGGCCAGCCTGACTTAGGTGGCCTTGCCAGGCTCACAGGGTGGCTCATGCCTAGGGCTGGGTCTAGATGTGGTTAGAATCCGTAATGAATGAGCCTCAGGACTCGGTCTTTGGGACACGAACTTCCACACCACAGCCCAGGATGCCAAAGAAGTGAATTGAACCCAAGACACTTAACCAATCACTGAGCCACAGCCCTTTTTCAGTTTTTTATTTTGAGACAGGTACTCACTATGTTGCCAGGGGTGGCTTTGAACTCATGATCTCCCTGCCTCAGCCTCTGAACCTCTAGGATTATGGCCACGTGCACACACTGGTATGTAAGCCCAGGCTGCTCCACATGCAGGTTCCCTGTGCATTGTCTAGTGTGAGGAAGAGCAGGTGTGTCTGATCTGCTGCCTTCTCAGGAGGTTATTTCAGGGGCACATTCACAATGTTTGGAATAAAACATAAGTTCTTTGTCTATTTTTCCTGTGTATCACCAAGATAATTCCTTGTGTCTTGATCCCGTCCCCTGGTTTTTGCCAGTGTGGTGTGCACACTTTCAGGCCAGCGTGAGAGCAGCATACCTGTCTTGTTGATTCAGTGACTGCGGAGGTTGAAGTGACGTGTCTCAGAGGTTGGCCCTGCCTGTCTCTCTCGCTTGCCCTGCATCCAGTGTGGCTGCTCCTGCTGCTGATGTCCTTTTGCAAGTGCAGGACAGTATCCCAGTCCTGGGAAGGAGCTGGTGCCAGGAAGTACCTTGGTCTGCATCAGGCAGGGCCCTGCCCCTTGTGTTCCTGGTCTCATGGGTCAGGCCCAGTAGTTACGCTGGAACTAGCTTCAGTGGTCACTCAGCATAGTTAAGGCAAGTCCATTTTGGCCTGTGTCCAAGGACTCATGACGTTGAAATATTAAGAATTGAACCAGAGCCAGGTGCAGAGGTGCATGCCTGTAATCCCAGCATCTCAGGAGGCTGAGGCAGGAGGATCACAAGTTCAAAGCCAACCTCAGCAACTTAGCAAGGCCCTAAGCAACTAAACAAGACCCTGTCTCTAAATAAAATATAAAAATGGCTGGGGATTGGGGGTGTGGCTCAGTAGTTACCCCCCAGGTTCAATCCCCAGTACCAAACAAACAAACAAAGAAAAGTGAACCAGGACCTGCATTTTACCCTGAGCTTCTCTGTTCTAGAAGGTTCTTTTCCTGAGTCAAGGTGCAGGGCTTGATGGCATCTATCTTCTGCTGTTGCTACATAAGCAGAGCTGATTTTCCCAATGTGTGCAAATTCAAGGTAAAGCAAAGCTTCAGGGAGCAGAAATCAAGAGTGACAAGGCTGGCAGGTGAGGTGCCAGCAGGGCTCACCAGGGCTCAGGCGCTCGGGTTCAGAGCAAGGTGCTCTGAGAGTGAAACGCAGGGAGCACGGAGCCCTGGCCAGAAAGCCCGCTGCTGGCAGAGGACGAGGCCTCCTTAGGTGTGAGCAGGCTGGCTGGCTACATGCTGACACTCGTTTGTTGGTCCGCAGGCCGGCTGGTCCGAGACGCTGTTCTGGAAGCTCAACCAGTGGCTGATGATCCACATGTTTCACTGTCGCATGGTCCTCACCTACCACATGTGGTGGGTGTGCTTCTGGCACTGGGGACGCCTCGTCAGCAGCCTGTACCTGCCTCATTTCGCACTGTTCCTTGTTGGGCTGGCCCTGCTCACACTCATCATTAATCCATATTGGACCCACAAGAAGACCCAGCAGCTTCTCAATCCAGTGGATTGGAACTTTGCACAGCCTGAGACCAAGAGCAGCTGGCCAGAGAGGACCAATGGTCAGGTGCTGCAGAAGAAGAAGCCATAGTGGCCGTAGTCGGGACCAGGTGGACCACTGTGTCTGTGGATGCAGCACATGGGTTCCACAGCTCCGAGAACAGTGACTTTTGTAACAAATAAGGTCTTGACTATCTGTGTAGCGCTAAGTGGAACCCTGGCTTTCTAGTCACTAGTATTAATTCTGAAGTAGCCACAGAGTATTACGAGGCCTCCTTCACCTTCCGGAGCAGATCTTTGCCACTGTGACTTCCTGGACTCCTCTGGCTTGTTCCTGCAGGCAGTTAGCTCGGAGGAGGAGCCCTGGTGGCAGGCACACTGCCGGCTGGGGAGTGCTCCGGGCTGCGTTGACTCCTCTTAGCCGCAGGCTCACATTCTGTGTGTATTATTCCAAAGACATTTTCCTTTAGTTGGAAAGGATTGGCCCAAGGAAGTCCCAGTGTATGGCCTTTTAAAGCTGGTGTGTAATGGTACCACCTAGTGGCAGTGGAGCCGTTGCGGTGGCCCTGGGTAGGAGACTGCCACCCAGGATGCCACCTGCCCTGACGGGAGTGCAAGTTATAAAAACTTCCACTTTTTTTTTTTAATCAAGAAAGATTTTTAAATGATTTTTATTGACATTGTATTTCTCAATTGACAGAATAAGGTAAGTGTTCAGCAAACAGATGTGTCTGGATTTCAGAGCCGTTTTTACTTGATGGTGGCCTGTAGGTACCCAGGCCAGACCCTGGATCCTTGATTGATATTTGTGGACTTTAAGGCAAGTTATTGAGGACTTCTTCCCTGAGATGTGTGGTTGACCCTAGTGGCCCTGGGCAGACCTGCAACCAGCTCTTGAGAAGGGGTCCCCAATGCACCTGGCTTTTACCACGCTGTACCCAGGTAGAATCTGCACACCAACTTAGCAGTGTTGACAGACCTACAAACATTTTATTCCCCATAAGTACATAATTAAAAGTGAAAGTATATTTTTATCAAAGCACCTTTGAATAAGTGCTTGCAGAAAATATGTTTTTATTGCTCTTAAAATCATGTGACCCTGCTTGTTTGCACCATGGAAATCTTGGGATAGTGTATTTTGATGACTGGTGCTTTAACTTTATTGATTGTATTTAGATCAAGATATATGCCTATTTATCTCATCCTAAAAGTATTTAAGCTATGTCCCTGCTAAGATCCTTAACTAAGAACCCTGTTGCTCCTGATGGCTGCTCCGTTCTGCCCTGTCCCATGGAACCAGCATAAGCTGGTGGTTTTCCACTGGGCAGAAGTTTAATAAAGTGACTGATGTTTACAGAACCCGAATGAATGTCAGTTCCCATCTCTTAAAGTGAACTTCCCTCACTGACCAGGACCTGCAACCAGCTCTTGAGAAGGGGTCTCCAATGCACCTGGCTTTTACCACGCTGTACCCAGGTAGTATTTGCACACCTGGTGACATGTTGTCTTGGAAACAAATGTGACGGTCAAACCTCATGTGCTCGAGAAGCACTTTCAAGCACTGGGCTGAACTGGTGTCTGTACTTCACTGGGAGTCTGTCCTCCTCAGGGGTCCACACTTGACGCCCTCTTTCTTGGTGGATGGGACCGCCAGCCTACCCACTCAGGGGGTGTCCTGCACGCGTGGCTCCTTTCTGAGTAGGGGCTTGTCAGTGAGGAGCACAAGGCTTTGGAATGTTGGGACCCAGTAGCCTTTGTTGCCCCGTGGATGGTAGCACCCTCCAGGTCGCACGGTGCCTGTCCCCCACCAGCGTACGAGCGGACCTGACACATGGCGTGGTACTGGCAGTGCTGGCGAGCAGCCTGCTGGTGTGAGCCTGCCAGCCCACTCAGTGGCTGCGCTGGCTACCATCAAGACCCATGGCTCATGCCTCAGGCTTCCTCTGGTGGAGTTGGAACAGGCGTTTCCTGGGAGGGTTCAGGTAACAGCCAGGGGTTCTGCAGTCACTTGAAAGACTGCACGATGGGGCAGTGTTGGCCTTCAATCTCCCCTGGTGACGGTGGGAGGAAAGCACTCCGTGGGCCGGCCTGGCTCTTTGGCTAGCCATGGTGCCGCACCTTGGCACTGTGCTTTCTCGGTGGGTAGGAAATATTTCTTGGTGTCCATGTTTTGGGTTTTTTTTTCCAAAGTTGGATCACCAAATGGGCCAGGAAGCCTGAATGACTCAGAACGTGGGACAAGGAGGGAGGGGACTGTCCTGTCCACCACCCCTTCTCATCTAGCACCAAGCCTGCTCCTCTCAGCGTCCCACCGCTCCCCAAAGTGTGGCCCAGCTGGTGTAGCTCTGCTCATGGTGGCAATGCTTCAGCTCAACCCAAGGGTCTCGTGATGTCCCCCTTTCTCTGACTGGCAGCCCTGCAGGAAGTACCGTTGCCTCCACTGCACAGCCGGGGAGCTCCAGGCTGGGAGCCGCTGTGGTTACGCATGGTGACACGGCCCCTGCGTGCCATGCCTGCTCCTGGGTGCGTCAGCACCAGCCGACTCGGGTATGGTGCCCAGCCTGGTGGGCACTTCCTGTGGGTCTCAGTCCTTGTGCTGCTGTGACAGCACAATCCCAGACTGATTGCCCTGGTTCTGGAGGCTGGCAGTCCAAGGTCAAGAAGCTGTGGTTCAGTGTCAGATAGGGACCCAGCCTCCTTTCGCACTGTGGCTACGTCCCCGGAGGGAACAGGCCAGATCCTCAGGTGGCAGAAGGGATGGAAGGATAGCAGAGGGCCTACGCTGGTCCACAGCCCTTCTCAGGCACTGATTCTCTGGTGAGGGCAAGAGCCTGACACTCAGCACCCACAGTGGCAGGTACTATTAACAGAGCCACCCTCATGCCCCTGCCGCAGGAGATGTCACTGGCTCTAGGCTCACAGGGTGGTGCCTGCCTGACCTCCTGGCACGTCTCCAGTAGCTGCCATGCCTAGCTTGGGAGGACGCCCAGTGACTGGGTGGGTGTCCGAGCAGGGAACGACTGTCACGTGTCTGCCCAGCAGGCACCTGTCAGAAAACAGATGCAAACCCCAGAGGGCAACAGAACATCTGGCAAGGGCACATCGACCAAGGTAGGGTGGCCAGCTTCACCTCGCGCAGTGTCCCACCATGGCCTGGGGCTGTAGGTGACATTCTCTGCAGAGAACTGTAGTCACTGAGGACTGGCCCAGCTGGGGGAACTGGGGAGAAACGGCGGCAGGCACAAGGTTGGGTGAGGTCTGCTGGGGTTGGCCTCTCCCACTGGGAGCCCATAAGTTGACGGCATGCTAACCCTTTCTTCTGTGAGACAGGTCCTAGGTGTTTTACTGAAGACGGTGCGTTTACTCCACCACGAAGCTGTCGTGCAGATTGAAGAAGTGGAGAGACACTGGGGCTGCCTAGTAACGCTGACAGCAGGACCTCAGGCTCATGGGCCGCCACCATGCCTCAGGAGTGCTGTGGGCTGCCTTCGTGGGCCCCACCCAGCAACAGTGGCACGAGCTTGGAGAAGTAGCAGTCAGAAGTGCCCTGCTGCACAGGATGCCTTTCTCTGCTTGGCCTCAGACTGGACATACACCATATGAGTTGGGAGTGGTGCCCAGGCACAGAGGACGGCAGAGTCCAGCTCCCGCTTGCCCGGGTCTCCCTGGCGCTGCCTGCTGTGCCTTAGGTGCCAGGAGATCAGCAGCAGGGGGCTGGACAGAGGCACCTGGGACAGGCTACATGGGAAGAAGCTGCCCCTCTGGGGTCAGAGTACAGGGGAGCACTGGGCTGCTGACTTTTCTTCGGGTTCCCTCAAAATGAGGCCGCCCGTGTCTGCCTCAGACCCCACTCTGCATGGGGAGTGCAGTGCGCTGGCCTTCCTGTGAGGCTGCGCACAGCCTGAGGCCCTCATGGGCCTGCCTGGGGGCCCAGTACTGCAGGAAGAGGGAGCCAGCAGCCCGGCTGTGCATGGCTCCACCTAAGAGCACACCAACAGAAACAACCTGGCTTTGGCTGATGCTCGCCAATGCTTTCGAGTCGCCTCTGTCTCTAAGTCACTGTCTGCTTTGTTAGGAGAGCTTATTCAGTCACCATTCCTTCTGAAGTAAACTTTCCTCTTTCAGTAATTAATACATACTCTGCATATTACTGTTTTGATAGCAAAAACATGCTTACCTAGTCAGTCATATTTTAGTGCCATAATGTGAAAAATTCAGAAATCTCCATTTTCTTTTTTTTAATGAGTCAGTCTCCTTCCCTGCAGTGCTGAACAAGCCAGTACCACAAGCAGGACCACGGCCTTCCTTCTGCACTCCCCAGGTGGTTAGGGGGCCCTGACCTCACCTCTGGACCCCCCATGTGGATGCCTTTCTCAGGCATGTATTGGCCTTCTGATTGTACTTGGCACTCTCACGGCTACTCTTTAATCTGCCTGAAGCCCCACTCACCTTACTTCACTGTTTACACCACCACCCCAGACCAGCCCAAAGACTCCAAAAATTCACCCCTAGTTAAAATCCTCAGTTATTACAGAAAGGTATTAAATGTCAGGTCTTTTAGTCTGAAAAGTACCTGGTGAAAGTTTGCACAAAAAACTTTTAATCCTTTTTGTAATTTTTGTAATACTTACTGTGCTGTTTATAAAAAATAATACATGACATATGAAATTCCAACTGGAACTTGGCCCTTCTCGGCTACAATTTCTTTTGTCATAAGGAATTTCTCAGCAAACTTGGCCCACCCCAGAGAGTTTGTTGCACACACAGGGAGGACAGGACCTCAGGCCCCACAAAGTTTTGTACAGAGAGCTGAAGCTTGGGTGGGGCAAGACTGCCCTGGCAGTACTCCACTGTGCATGTTCTCTTAGCTCACAGCTGTCTCAGATGCAAAGTATGTGGTCGTGGAAAAAGTGCAGCTCAGGGAAAAGCTCACTCGCCAAAAGTGACTTTTACATTCTAATTTGTAGCTAGTAGTTTGGCTTAGTCATGGTGAAACCTGCTCAGTTTCCCCTTCCCAGGGGCTTCCTGTCTCCCTAGCCACCCTGGTTATCCTCATGTCCTAGGCTGGCCAGTGAGCATGGGGGTGTTCTGGGAAGGCTGTGTTTCCTTGGCCAATGCCAAGAGCCTTGAGCGCGAGCCGCCTTTCCTGCTCTCCAGCCTCCTTTTGGCTAAAAGGAAGTCACATGCCTGCAAAGGCACCAGCTCTTATTGCCACGGGGACCGACTTAAGGGCCAGGAACAGCCTGTCTTCAGTGACATTGGTATTTTGAAGAATACTAGCTGTTACGTCACAGAATATCCCTTTTGACGGGATGGATTTAAGTTACATACGTTTGTCTAGGGCACTATGTAAATATGGTCCTCCCTGGGGTATCATGCCCAGGGCACTTGTCTGCTTACCCCCTGCTGGTCACCCACTTAGGATGTTGTCTGGCTCCCCCACTGGTCAGTCACTATTTCCCACAGTATCAGATAACTTGCTGAGACTGCTTTGCGTGTTTTGTTTCCTGGAGACCCCTGGTGCCCTGGATTGGTCTCCACTGAGCTCAGTAAGATGGCACTCACCTGTCACCCCTGCGCTGTGCTCACCATGGCCAGCTCTCTAGCCTAAGGAGACCTCCACTCTCTGCGCCTCCTCTACCCTGACTTGGTTCATCTTGTCCAAGATTAGATTCATTATTGTCTGTGCAAATGCCCACATGTGCAGTGGGGCCTGCTCAAGTCGCTTCAGGGCCCTCTTTTTTCCTTTTCTAACACAGTAGGAAGCCTTCCTCTGCCCTCTGGAAGCTTCTCTGGTGAGGAATAGCATTTGGAAACCTAGGTAGAAGGGCGAGATGTGAGCATTGATGGCTGTACTTAGTCCAGCCCCTGCTTCCTCACCTGCCCACCCCATCCTGGCATGGCACTGATATTACATGGATATTACATGGATGGTCTTTCCTGGAATCCTGCAGAGGGCTGTGGCCCTCCTCCATCCCCCTCCTGGGTCCCTTTGTCTTTTAACATCTTCTCCATCTAGCACTCTGTTCCCTGGCCACACATCAGATCCCTGCTGTGGAGCTTGGCTCCGTTCAGAACTGAGCATCTCTTTTCTTTTCTTTTCCCTCTCTTTCAGCACTGGGGATTTTGTTCAGGCCTTCATACGTGTCGGTGACAGACCCACACGTCTTGTCCAGCATGTCTCACACAAGCCTGGAGCCTGGGTCACCACAAGGCACCCCTCCCGCTGCAGCACCTCCCACCTTCTGCTCAGCTGCAGAAGACAAAGAAGATGAAAAACATGCAGTTTGCTTTCTTGCCAGACTGATTTGTTTTGGGAAACAAGTTAACATGTACTAGGTTTATCACTATTTTTTTTTAAAGAGAGAGAATTTTTTTTATTATTTATTTTTTAGTTTTCGGTGGACACAATGTCTTTATTTTATTTTTATGTGGTGCTAAGGATCGAACCCAGTGCCCCACGCATGCCAGGGGAGCGTGCTACTGCTTGAGCCACATCCCCAGCCCTATCACTATTGTTAAACAAGCTAATGCTTTTAAGAGTTTTGGTTTTGATTTGTGATGCACCGACTGTCCAGAGCTACAGCCCCCTGTCCTCCTACTTGGCCTCAGCCCCTAATCCTCTCAGTGGATCAGCCAGCGTTCAGTCAGGTGGGTCCCCAGCCCAGCTCTTCTCCTGATGGGTGCAGAGTATGCAGGGAGGGGATGTGGGTTCATGGCATAGCCTGCCTTCTGCTTGATTTTGGATAGGAAGCAGCTTTCTTTGAAAGAAGCTCAGTCTTAACTGGCCTGATTTGTGAGGTAAGTCCTGCCTCTCCCTGCCCAGCATGCAGCCAACTTGCAGGTTTCAGGCTGTGTGAGCCCCTCTCTGTCCTGAAGCAAAGCCAGGTGCAAGCTGGTTGCTGGTGACCTGGGCCACCTTGCATGGGGTCTCGCCTCTGGCTCAGCTCTCAAGGCAGCTGTCTAAGCAAAGACTGGTTGACCTGTGCCTCCCACACTTCCCCTGTTCCAGGCTCAAAGGCCTGACTTCCTGCACACTGGAGTTCTGGAAATGTTATGGCAGCCACACCTTTAAGACCTGGGATGTCAGTGCCAGAGTGTCCTCTCTGCTTCATAGGCACACTGAGCTGAATCCCCTGAGGCTGCTGCTCAGGGCCCACCAAGCCATCCGGCCCTCAGAGGCCTGGAGGGCCTCCTGTCCAAGGGAACTCTGAAGACTTAGGTGTGTGGTGGCCACTCGGGCCACATGCAGCGTTTTCTCTCTCCCTTCACAGAGTACAGTGCATCGTTGGCCGTGACAAAGGTATGAGTCCTGGCCTAGCCCAAGCATGGTCCCCTGTGTCTCAGACCTGCCTTCCGCTCCATTAACTGCATTCTGCTGGGTCCTCGTCCTGTGGCCTTGTGCTGCAAGTCTTCAGAGAACTTAGTCCTCTCCAGGTCGCCCAAAGTCTGTCATAGTGTTGGGGCTGTCCCTTTTCTCAAGAGCTCAGAAAACAGATGACAACTGTGGGTATGTGTATTTTAATACTAAATCAGGGGCGTCTGTACACCTGTGCTTCTGCAGAAAGGAAAGCAGGTGTCTCAGTTGTAATCATGAAATCAAACCCCTCAGGATGCAAACGGAGCTCAGTCCTCTGTGTTGCAGAGGCTGGTTGGCACAGGGCACAAGTGTGAGAGCCGGCCCTCTGGATTTGCTCCCAGCTCTTTCTCACAGCTGACTCCAGCACACCAGCGGTTCCCGCTTGCTTGTGTGCTCCCAGCAAGGAGTGCCACAGACCCTGTGGCCGAGGGCTCACTGTCCACGCACTGCACCTGCTCCATCTCAAAGTCTGTGTCCAGACGGCCAGGCCTTCCCTTCTTCAGTGGCCTCCCTAGGGTGGAAGAGGCCCTGGGCATGGAGTATCCCGCACACTCTTCAATAGCCCACTTGTTCTCAGCCCCTCCTGCAGCCCCTACAGAGGCACCGAGTGCTCCTCTGGCCCTAGTAAGCCCTGAGTGGGCTTCACCTCCTACCTCCCCATAGTGCAGGAGCCTCCTGCCCTGGACTTGACTGGGCCTGCCCTCTTGGTTCTTGAGGACCTTCTCTCTCTCTCTACTTTAGAAACATAAGTGATTAGGCCAGGTTTCGGGAGGAAGGAAACTGGTGCCTGCTGTGCCCTGCTTAACCAGAGTCTTTGCTCCCTTGCTAGGGTTCTGTTTTGTTTTATTCATAAAAGTGACATTCACCTCCAGCATCTTGTGTCCTTGTCACAGAGAATCACTGGGCTTGGTTGGTTGATGAATTACCTAACTGGCTTGACCCCAATCTCTAATTTCTTGGGAGCTGATGGGCAGGCTTATGAGGAGTCCCTGCCTGTCTGAGGCCAAGAGTAGCTGGGGTCAGTTACAGGTGGCCCCTGGACAGGGGAAGTTTGGATGTGTCCTGAAACAATGCTGCCTACATGGTGGGACAGGTTGGTGTCTTCTTGCTCTGGGGCTTTCTGGGAACACGAGGTGAGGTTGCAGGTCAAAGTGCAAAAAGAACTCAAGTCCCCCTGGGGCAGGCTGTGGGTGGAGAGGCCCAGCAGGCACTGGGCATTGGCCTGGTGCTCTGTGACCTGACCACACACTGCTGGCTTTATAATACTTCATTAGATGTATGGTTTATGAATTTCTTTGTGTGCTTCTTTTCATAGTAAAATGTAAAGTGTTTTAAACAACTAAGCAAAGTTAAGAAAAATACAATATAATTTTCTTAAGAAAATTCTTTGATAGTTCTTTAAATAGAATAGTAAAAATTGTTTGATTTTTGTTGTTTTGTGGTGCTGTGGATTAAACCAGGACTTCTCATGTGATAGGCAAGTGCTCTATTTCTGACTACACCCCTAGAGCTTTTTATTTTATTTTGGACAAGGTCTCAGTAAGTTGTCCTTCTGCTTCAGCCTCCCAAGTCACTTGGTTTATAGGTGTGCGCCACCATGCCTGGCTGAAAATTGTTTTTTTTTTTTTTTTATTGTGACTATGTTTTCTTCCATGATAACTCATGCTGGATCATGGAAGGAGTAGAAGTGCTCAGCTAGCTACTGTAGACTCCCCTGATAAGCAACAACTTAGACTCGTGAAGGCCCCAGGGTGCAGGAGGAAGCACAGACTTGTGGAGCATGCTGTGACATCATGGAGGGTCACCAGCAGTGACTGACTCACTTTCTGGAGCTGGAGCGTGGGTTCTGAGCGAGTCGCTGAGGCTCGGTGCATTTTGGTGTAGTGAAGTTGTGATGGTGTTCAGCTGCACTCTGGGTGCCGTGAGGATGGGTAGCTGTGAGCCAGGCCAAGCTGCTCCTGGGCGAGCGTGGTCTGCAGACAAGCAAGGCCCTGGCCCCCTTCTGGATGAAGTGGAAGTCAGAACACAGGGCCTGTCCTCGTGGCTCCTTCTCTACCTGCCACGTCCTACCTTCTTTCTGGAGCCCCATTTGGACCCGTCCTTCCCATCTGAAACCTGCCTGTGCTCTGGCTGTCCCGGAAGGCTCTGCGTGACTAACGTGAATCAGGTAATGGCTGAAGGCCATTCTTCTTAGGTAAACTGGCCAGAATTGTGTGACTCCACAAAACATGCCTACCATGTCATGGGCTTTAATTGCCGCCACTGTGAGCAACAGAGACACCTCTGCACACGCAGGTTGGGGTGAGGGCGTGCTCCCTGGGTGTGCCTTGAGCCACGGCCCGTGCAGGCCGCCTGCCTGCTGTGCTCTGCCTCTGCCCGCTGCAGCCTGCACACTCCAGCTTGCTCTGGCAGCGAATGCGAATGCGGGGCCCTGTCCTTTGCCATATTCCTCTCTGCCCCAGCTGCCCAGTCCTGGTGTGTTCCCAGAGGCGCTGCCTAGCCCAGGAGAGGGAGGCGGGGAGGGGTGGAGGGATGGGGGGCTTTGTGCAGCACTCCTGTGTCAGGAGGCAGTGTCTCCTGGTCACTGGGGCCAGGGAAGCCCACCCATGGGTGGGGGCTGTTTAAATCAGAGCTTTGCCCATCCCTCCCTGCCCCCAACAGGTGTACCTCTGGTCACTGGGAGAGCTGCTTTCTCAGACTTCTCTGACCTCCGCCTCCCCCACCTCCTATTTCAGATTGGGCAAAGCCAGAAAATAGGCTTAGTTGTTGCAAGAGCTCTGAAAACAAAAAGCCACTGTGCCCTCTGGAACAATGAATCCTTCTCCCACCAGATTACAGGGGCCCTTTGACAGACCATCAGTGAGAGTCCTGCCTTGTCTTTGCTGGGTCCCAAAGCCTCCTCTCTTTCTTTTTTAAACACATGCACCCCCTTTCCCTTTGACCTGTCCATCAAAGGGAGTCGGTAGGGGTCGGGTGGGAACTAGAGAGACTAAGGCCAGCAATCTCAAGAGTATGTCCCGGAGATCTGCAGTTTGAGCTCAGGCATGGGGGTGTTCCAGCCGTTCTCCAAGCTCAGCCATGTGTACTGTCAGGAGTCGTGGGCTGAGGGACACACCCAGAGACACCTCCAGAGACAGAGACGCTCTGTAGAGGAGGACAAGCAAGCTGCTTCAGACCTGCCCTCCTTGCAAGGCAAGGGCTGGCGCTCTGTGGAGGGTGGGCTGAACACATGCCTGGCCCTTGCTCCCTCAGCTCAGACACGTGAGCAGAGTGCTCCGCTGGGCAGCTGGATGTTCCTGCTCTACCTGCCTCTCCCTTTCCCATCTTTGCAGCCTGCTTCCTTGTAATATCCACCTGCTGCTTTCTCCCACTGAACTTCCCCACATGTTCCATGTTCTGAGAGAGAGCTGGAAAGCAGCCAAGCCCAGGGAGCAGCCTGGTGAACAAAGGAGAGGGGTCTCCTCCACAGCGATGCCCAGCTTGGAGAGAAATGGAGCTGGGGGCACTTGGCAGGCAGAGGCCTGGGACATTCATGTCCTGCGCTCCAGGGATCCAGCACTGCCCATATCTGCACTGCTTGCTAGTATCCCATGATGTCGCCTACTGGCCACTATCTGACTCCACAACCTAATTCCTTCTTACCCCAGTGACAAACACCACAACAGTGGATCCACGAGACAATTTTTGGGTCCTGCTGGACCTCAGAGAGGTCGGTTCACTGGCCTTTTCAGAAAAAAATTGCAGTATCATGGCCTCATCATCTTTGTTTCTGTATTTTTAACAACTGCCTTAGTGTAATGGGTGTTGGATGAACCACACAAAGGTAAAGTGCCCACCAGGATGTCGATGTGCTCATAGGGACTCTGAGTGTGGACACACCTGCCACCGCAGTGGCCTCTTGTTCCAAGTAGCCAATTGTTTTTAGAACTTTGTATGGAGGAACACTGATCGGTGGCCCAGAAGGTCACACCCTGAGTGATGCAGGCTGACCGAGCCACAGCTGCAGTGGGCCCACCTGGTGTCCTGGCCCCCTGTGCTCAGCTCGGGGCTGCTTTCCTAGTCATGGCTACCGCAGTCCAGTGCAGCCTTCCTGTTTCCCCACGACGTCTCACTGGGTGGTCCTGCTCTCTGCAAGCCTGGCCCACTGGTGCCAGGATCAAACAGGGGCTGGACGGCCACAGTGAGGAGACAGCTTGGTGAGTGTGGGCAGGCACGTGCCTGAGGTGAGAGCACGTCCAGCCAAGGGCTCATGGGAAAGCACTGCTGAAGGGACCTGTGGAGGGCAGGAGGACACTGGGCCTCAGGGTCAGTGAGCAGTGCATGCCCCAGTGAGGAGGGGTTTCCTGTCCAGTGCGACCCACCTGCCCAGCTATGTTTGGTGCCTAAATAGCTTGTGCCAAGCAGAGAGGCCTGAGGGCCAGCGGAGGTGTGTGCAGGGTCTGAGAGGCCTGAGGGCCAGCGGAGGTGTGTGCAGTCCTGCAGATTCCCCTGGGCACAGGGGCCTCTAAGGGCAATTCAGAGCGGCACAGGATGGACATATCATTTGGGCTTGCAAAGGGCTTGTGAGACCAATGGAAGCTGTGATACTGCTCTGGGGTATCTGAGGGAGGTCTGTCCACCCCAGTCTTTACCTGGGTGCCTTGACCATCAGCCTTGTTGACCATTCTCCCCGGACTCACCGTGAGCAGTCCGCTGGCCACTGACTCCAGGTCCTCCGCTTGCTTGGTGCGCTCTGGGCAGTGCCAGCCACGTCTTCTGAGCCCAGTGCTGTAAGAACCCTGCTGCGGACACCTGCTGAGTTCAGGCACCATGGAACACTGCAGTGACAAAGTTCTTCAAGCAGGTCCTTCAGCGTCAGCGGGAGAGCCACCAGCAGGAGACAGGCACAAAGAGCTGCAGCAACAGAGGGTGAACTGGGCTGGGGCCTGGGCTGTGTCTCACGCCTGAGTCAAGCCACCTGGACTGTTCAGAATCAGCTCCTTAGTGGAAGGCCCCTGACGAGGGACCTCGGACACAGAGGGGCTGGACCACCACAGCAAACACTGCTGTCTTCCATCTCTTCATAGGAGGAACCGAGGCACTGCCATGTAGGTGGTGCAGCTGGTAGGGAGGCGCCTAGGGTCCGACCTGGGAAGAGGCTGCAGGTGTGGACACAGGATTCTGACCTTGATAGCACTTTAGGCATCTTCTGAAGGTCCTGAGGATCTGTGCACCTGGTCTTCAAAACTGCCTCTGTAGACAGCAATTACTCTGTTTTCAGGAGGAAACTGGAGCATGGGACATTAAATAACAGTCCAAGTTCACCCAGTGAGTGGCAGAAGAGGCAGAAGTAACTTCAGGTCTATTTGATAACAGAGCCAAGCCTTGACCTGGCCACAGATGACCTTGTGGCCCTGTGTGGGCATGAGGACGACTGTGCAGGAAAGGAGACCCAGAGCCAGTGAGCCATCTGCCATTTCTTTGCTTTCTGCACGTCCTGATGCAGGTGTGAGTTGCCCCCTGACTGTGTGGATCTTACATGTTGGTTTAATAAAGGGACATCTGTGTTTGATTGATAAAGAGAATCATTAATTTAAAAAAGTGTCAGTCCAGCTTTTAAAATCTCTTTTTAGTGATAGGTAACAGTCTTAGTCTATTCCTGCTGCTACCACGACTTACACTGGGTAGTTCATTTCTCACAGTTAGGGAGGACTGAAGTGCCTGCAGGGACAGGGGCTGGTAAGGGTCCCTCTTTACTTCCATGATGGTCCTGGGATGGTGGGAGGGAGGGAGGGAAGGGCAAATGGGGGGAGGATGCTAATCCTGTCCATGGGGAGGGAGCCCTCATGATGTAATCACCTCCCCAAGACCTCTCCTCTTCCTAACTATCACAATGGTGGTTAAGTTTCAGCATGTGGACTGTGGAGGGGGGCGAATTCAGACCACAGCAACAGGATGTACCTCATGAAGTCCCTTACTCTTGCACTCAGCTTGCTAAGACTTCACAAAGTGAAGACATCAAAGTGTCTGCATCTCAGAACACTTTCATCACCCCCCGCCCCCCCGCCCGGAATTCTTTCATGTCCTCTCCCCCAGAGGCAGGACCTCCTGGTCTCCCATACACATTTAGTTCATTTCATCTGCCACACGTGCCCTCTCCTCTGACTTTTTAGGCAGTGTGATGTTCTTGAGATACATCTGCTGCTGAATGCACTGTCACTCTGCCTGGTTGTCAGGGGCAGTGTCTGTCACCACACGAGTTCATGCCTTTATCAGGCTTCTAATTTTGAACTGTTGTAACCAGTTTGAACTGTGATGAGTTAAGAATGCTTGTAGAAGTCTCTTGGTGGCTTAAGTTTTCCTTTGCCTTAGGTAAGCACCTGCCAGCCAACCACTCCAAGGGGGCATCACCCTCCTGCCACACACAGCAGCTCGCGGGGTCTGCTCTTCACCAACCCATGCTGCTTCAATCCTCAGTGTCCGCTATTCTCATCTGGGTACACTGGCGTCTATTGGGTTTAATCTGGGTTTTCCTGAAAATAACAACACTGCGCACCATTTCCTGTTCTTATTGGCCATCAGTAAATCTTTTAAGAAGCATTTACGTATTTGCCCATTTTTATTTGGACCATCTGTATTGTTAATTTATAAGTGTTCTTTATTTACAAGTGCTATGGTTTGTGTCTCCCAAAGCTCATGTGTTGAAAACTGCATCCCCAAAGCCACAGTGCTGGGAGAGGGGTCCAGTATAGAACACTGAGGCCCTGGGTTTGATCCCCAATAACACATATATCCTAAATTTCTAAATATTCTATCAGTGAGGGCCAAAGGGGGAATCACAGTGGAAAATCCCAACTTTTCCACCTCAGGACTTGTAAGTGTGGTCCTGTGTCCAGAGAAAACCAGGACAGACTACACTGGATTCAAGTTCCAAATCAAAGAGTCCTTCCTGCCCAGCCCCCTCTCCCAGGCCCTTCCCAGGTCCTTCACAGTGGCTTCTCCTGGCTATGTTTAGGGCCCCTCACAGCCTGGGGCACATGTGGCTCCTTCCACCCAGTACTGTCTTCCGTCTCTGGTCTATTTGAGCAGAAATCAATGCCAACTAGTGAACAAGCACTAGTGCAGTTGACCTTCTTACCTCTGTTGACCAGGAGTGTTTAATACTTGTGTAGGAGACGCTCCAGGAAGGTTCTCAGAAGAACCCCAGGAACCCAGGCTGTACAAGAGTTATAATCTCAAGGTCACTGAGAGGAATGTGCTGTCGGAGGTCTGACAGTCTTCAGGAGTAACTCAGAGCACTCCTACAAAAGCAGTAAGTGCTAAAGCATCACCCTATCTGTACCTCCGGATTCCCAACCACCTCCAGCCTATATTTGTCAGCTATGAGTTTTTACAATAGAAATTTCAGGGATATAAATTATTACAGAGCACACAAGCTCTTAATGTTTAATATTATGACTTTTAGCATGCCAAATAACTTTTTGTATTTCTTATAAACAAACGAATGGACTAGAGATCTCTAAGAATTTTGGCAGTTCTAAAATTCTGGTTTTAATTTACTCCCATGCTTTGAGAGATTTGGTTGGGAGGAAACATGGGGACCTGGCAATGGAACACATTTGCTGAAGGCACTGACCAGACAGTAGGTAATATTTTTCAGTCGATTGGGTTAAAAGGGTTGTCTCAGTTTCCTCCTTTAGTACTAATGTGGTAATAATTTGTGGTGTTTCCCAGCTCAGAGGCACCATCTCCTCAAAGGGTCAGCAAGACTGGAAGCAGCCCTCTGCAGCAGGACTTTCTGGCACGTAGTTGCTGCAGTTCTAGGGCTGACAGGCTAGGTCAGAGGAGGGCTTCTAGTGACAGGCGGGGACCTGTAAAAGCCGCCCTAGAGGTGGGTGAAGTCCTGAACTGCTACTCCAAACGCCCTGCACTGATGCCAGAGGGCAGGGCCCTGCGGGGAGGGGCGCAAGCTGCGGTGGCTTGGGACTTGGGACACAGCCCTGTACCCCTGAGGGCAGCTGGGGGAGTGATCCACAGGGAGAGGTGAATGTCGGGGGAGGCCGTGGGAATACACAAAAGCCCCTAGCCCAGTGATAACAGCTGGGGACCAGGAGCGAGGAAGGGAAGGTTCTCCTGATGGACAGGGGCGGGTTCGGGGTCTTAAGACTAGGGAACCCTGCACACATCGAGTGCACCCCCCCTCCAGGGAGGGTGATGATGCACGTGGAATGGTGTCCTCCTGGTATCCCTGCCCTAGTGAGCACAGCTTGGATAGGGAATGCGAGGGGATCACTGCTGGGGCTGAGTGCCCTGGGAATGGTCCTCAGCGAAGGGCGAATGGTGGGGTGAGAGGGGAGAGTCTGCCCTGCTCCCCACCTAAGTGGGCGCGGGAAGGAGGTGAGGCTGGCATGTCACTGGAGGGGTGTAGGTCCCACGCGAGCGCGCTGGGGGCGCTCCCGCAGGCTGCGTGTGCTCGCCGGCGCCCTGCCTTCACCTAGTGTGACGTGCAGCCTCACCGCGCCCCCTCCCACACGTGCGCAGCCCGGGCGGGGCGTTGGGACGTCGCGGGTGGGGGTGCGATGGCCACGTGGCCTCGCAGGAATGCGCGGGCGCGAGGGCGGGGCCCGGCCGGGAAATGGGCAGAAGCTCCGGCCAGTGGGCGCTCGGAACGGTTGGGATGCGCCAATTCCATCGCGGTGGGCGGGGCCTCCCTCCGGCGTGGGCGGGGCCTGGGCGCACGGCGGGCGGGGGACAGCGGGGGTGGGGGGGCGCGGGACTATCGGCGGACGCGGATGCGGACGCGGTGGACTTATTCCGGCCCCACGGTGAGTGCGGCCCCCGCGGCGGGCGGGGGTCCTGGGCGCGCCCGGCCTGGGCCTCTCGCGGGCTTTCTTGTTTGCTTTCAAAGTTGCGCGTCTCTCCAGCTCCTCTAAGTAGCTAAATCCCACCCGAGGTTTGCGGGATGCGCGGAGTGCGGCTGGCAGCCCCCCAACTCCATGGCTCCCCTGGGGTCACACAGGGCAGTCTCCAACCCCAGTGACTGTCCCTGGGCACAGACAGTGACCCTCCAACTCCAGCTAGTGTCCCCAGACACGGGGATCCCTAACTCCAGAGGCTGTTCCTGGGCACAGACAGGGAAGCCCCCCCAACTCCAGAAGGTATCCCAGGAGCCAGAGACGGCAGCCCCTCAACTCCAGCAGTGTCCAGTCCCTTCAGGACAGCTGTCCTGGGGCCAGTGTGCCAGGGCACCCACAGAGACTTGGGGTGAACCCACGTCCCACGGGACGCAGTGGGGCGGAATGTGAGGAAAGGCAGGTATTTGTGTGGGGATAATGATTGGTGCGGAATGAGGGCCTGCAGGTCTCTCTCCTGCATTCCACAGCCCCCATTGCCCAAGAATGCAGGCAGGGTTTAAGTGGATTTGCTTGGTCAGCAGGTACCTTGTTACTCCACCTGGTTCCACTCTCCCCTCTGTGGGGCCCTTAAGTTTTGACTGTGAAAGTGTAAAAGTCTGGGTGAATGTGTGGGTGTAGGGTACTGGGGATTGAACCCAGGGATCCACTGAGATAGACCCAGCCTCTTTTGAGTCAGGGTTTCAGGGTTTTCCTACTTTTCTGAGGCTGGCCTGAGGCTGGCCTTGAACTTGCAGTCCTCCTACAAGTGTGGGCCACCTAGCCCAGCTGTTTGGGCTTTTAATGGGATGTCAGGTTCCCTGAAAGCAACACAGGTGCCTGGTGCCACCCACCCCAGTGTTCCTTTCCTTGCTTTGGCTGGAGGTGGAAGTTCTCATTGACTCCAAACAGAGGGCCCTGTGGTTGGGTGGCACCTAAAGCTGCGTTGGGTACAGGGGTTCCTTAGTTTCCCTGAGGGATAACATTTTTTGTATCTTGAAACCCATTTTTTAGAAAGTTCCTTCTACTAGAAGAGAAGATAACTGAGATTCACACTTTGTATATGTTTTAAGAAGATGCCCTAGGGCTAGGATGTGGCTCAAGCAGTAGCGAGCTCGCCTGGCATGCGTGCGGCCCGGGTTCCATCCTCAGCACCACATACAAAGATGTTGTGTCTGCCGATAACGAAAAAATAAATATTAAAATTCTTTGTCTCTCTCCCTCTCTTTAAAAAAAAAAAAAAGAAGAAGAAGATGCCCTGTCCCTCTGCACTACCAGTGCTTATCTGATAGGCCTTGGTGCCAGCGTCTGCAGTTACATTGCGTGCTGCCACTGTTCACAGCCATGCAGGACTTCCTGACCCTGTGTGAGGTGCTGTTCACAGTCGCTGTCTCTCTGTACACACCAGTTGTGAGAGGAGCTGCGGACAGTGAGGGATGAGGCAAGATTCAGTTATTCAACATGAACTTTTTTTTCCAGTGCTGGGTTGGAACCCAGGGCCTCCGCTTGCCAAGGCTGCACTGCCGACCACACCCCCAGCTCAAAAGAGCTTTTTATTGTTCAGAAGGTGTACTTTCTAGACCTCCGGTTTGTCGTGGTACTTTGCTGCCTCTCCTGTGCCGTTCTGTGGTGAGGTAGGGGCGGACCCTGGGACATTGCTGGGAGTTAAACTGGAGACGTTCTGCAGGT